CTGTGCTAGACAATGTGTAAATCAGACCTTCTGACCTGCCTGTAGGTCCTTAATTGTCAAACAAAGGATGATGGCAAGAAAATTTTGAGTTTCTTGTAATTTTATTCCCACATCTTGACGTTCAGTTGCCACTGCTTTGAAAATGGAACTTTGATTTATGTTTTTTTCCTGTAAATATTCAGAATCTGAAGCAGAGCAGTAATCCTGCAGGCCTTCCCAAAAGCATGACTTCCCTGCTAATTGGAAATCCATTTTCCAGTGTCCATGTGCCAGTTCTTCCCCAGGGCTTGTGCCCTGAGGTGACAGTGCCAGCTGGGAGTGCTGCCAGTCCTGTTCTGGCTGCTCCAGAATGGATTCCTGGGCAATGTGAATTCAAACCCACAAAATCAAACATTTAATTACCTCTACATTTTACAGAATGGGGAACTTCATTCTAACTTCTGCACCAATAAATTCACTAAGAATTTAGAAACCACAGACAGAGCTTGTCATACACCTATTAACCATTAACAAGGACTGGCACAGAAGTCTGGGACTGACATGTACAGCAGCCTTAAAATTTTTTGTAATTGGTCCTAAATGTTGACATCTGTTGCTGAGCTCCTTCTGTATCAATCACTGTCCTTGAAAGTAACTACATATATCCAGTTATAGCCAGAACTTGCATGGTTTTATTAAGCTGTTTATCCTTTTTACCTTTGTGTTGTAACCATGGGCTCTTCAGGGGCTCAAGTGAAGCCACTTTTGGTATAAATTGCCCGACATTTCTGAGAACACTGTAGCTAGAGCAGCATTCACAGCATATTAAAATATGTGAATTCTTTTGCAGGGTCTGGAAACTCTTGGTTGCATCAGACGGTTCTACATGAAAAAGCCATCCCCAGTGTCACTTTTTTCTCAGCCAGTTGTGGATGAACAACTACAGAATCCCAAACTGAGTGAAAGCCCAACCATCTACTATGAGCCTACAATAGACTGTACTCTCAGGCTGGGGAGAGTGTTCCCCTGCGACATGAATTGGAATAAATGGGTGCAGATTATCCCTGGATAGAAGGGGTCATAGGAAATTGGCTTAGCCTGTGGGGGGGAGTGTTCATGGAGATTAAATGTTACAATTTGTGCTTCATCTTGTTTTTATTAAATTATTTATCGTTTTTACTTCTGAATGTATTTAAACTGAGAATAAAGCTTGATGTGAAAACACAAGTAATACATGATCCTACCTGAAGCACATTCTCCTTTTATCAGTAAGTGGCTGCAGTGTGTAGTTTGTAGTTCCTGCTTTAACTGATAGGGTTTTCACAGGTCACAGCAAAACCTCTTTTTTTCATTTTTGGTTCTTTGTAAGGCCATAGTGGTAACACTTTACCTCTGCTTTGCCTTCTGTGCTGTGCTCAGGGCTAGGGTTTCCTCACCGTGCTTCAGCACGGTTACCTTCAAGCCTGTCTGTTTTCAGCACGGGTGTTTTGGTGTGCAGGGCACGACTTTATCACCCCTGCTGGAGCCTGTTTCCCCTCCCTGCCCGGCCCAAACAACCACGCAGAGCCACAGCTTGCCCGCAGTGCCGCGTTTATTGCAGGAGCAGCAAAAACTGTGATCCCATTGCCCCTCAGTCCCGCCAGCGGTGCCCGCACTGCGGGTTGCAGCACTTGTAGAAGGTGGTCATGGGCTCGTCGGCCGAGCGCGTCTGGATCTGCATGAAGTAGGCGCGGGGGTGCTCGCACTTGGGGCACGGCTCTGCGGGAAAGCGCCGTGAGGGGCCGGTAGGGCCCGGCGAGCCCCGCGCGGCCCCGCGGCCCGGCCCTACCTGCCGTGGAGTCCACGTTCTCCCAGGCCGCGGCGCCGCCCAGCACATCGTCCACCTCCTTCAGCCGCGGGTACTTCCTGCTCGTCACCTGCGGAACCGGCACCGGGAGCGGCTCAGCGGGCCCCGGGCACACAGCACCAGGCCTCGGGCACACAGCACCGGGCCTCGGGCCCCCCGCCCCGGGCCGCCCCCGCGCCCCGGTACCTTCCGCGTGACATTGCGCACGTAGGGACAGGTGGTGCAGGCGAAGCGGTGGCAGCGCGGCCCCTCCTCGGCCACCAGCACGTTCCCGCAGGCCGGGCAGAAGAGCAGCATCGCCGGTTCCGCCGCGCCGCCCGCCCCTTCCGGCGATGGCGGCCGAGGAGCCGGCGGAGGAGCCTGCGGAGGAGCTGGCGCACGCCGAGGTGCTGGAGCTGTTCCAGGCGGCGCTGGCGCGGCTGGTGCAGGACCCGCTGCTCTGCGACCTCCCCCCGCAGGTGCGCCCGGGGCCGGGCCGGGCCGGTGGGGCTGGGATGGGCTGGGCTGGGCTGCGCTCACAGCCGTGTCGCTCGCCCGCAGGTGACGGCGGAGGAGATCGGCTCGCAGGTGGCCCTGGAGTACGGGCAGGCCATGACGGTGCGGGTGTGCAAGGCGGACGGCGAGACCGTGCGTGCGTGAGGGGCCGGGCGGGGCGGGCCGGGCGCGGGCCGGGGGCGGCGGGCCTGACCCGGCTCTCCCCGCCCGCAGCCGTGGTGGTGGTGCAGAACGCCTCGGTGCTGGAGCTGAAGAAGGCGCTGCGGCGGCACATCCAGCTGAGGCAGGCCCGGCAGGGCGGTGTCCAGCACCTCAGCTGGTGAGCGGGGCCGGGGGGCGGCAAGGGAGCGCATCCCAGCCCGGCCCCGTTCCCGCGGCTGCCCCTGAGTGTTTTTCCCGCAGGAAGTACATATGGAGGACGTACCACCTCACCTTCAATGGAGAGAAGCTGGCGGATGACAGGAAGAAGCTGAGAGAGTGAGCAACTCTCAGCGCTGGGGGGCTAAGAGGAGCCCACGCAGCATCCCCGGGGCAGGGCTGAGCTGGGAGGTTGTGCCCTGGATCGGGGTCCTGTGCTGGACATTGGCTGCGAGGTGGGACAGCACTGCCCACAGCAGTGGGACAGACAGACTCAGAGGCTCTCTGCAGGATGGGCTGGCCTTGGGGGCTTCCTCATCCTCACCCAACACCATCCTGTGCTGGGTTCAGCCAGTTCAGAGCACCCCACAGAACCCTTGGCCATCCCTCCCGAACTCCTGCACATGGCTACAGTTACTCAGCTCAGCACAGGATAGGATAGGAAAGAGCAGCAAACAGGAACTGAACAGGTTGCCCAGGGAGGTTGTGGATGCCCCAGCCCTGGCAGTGGCCAAAGCCAGGTTAGATAAGGCTTTGAGGAACCTGGCTAGTGAGAGGTGTCCTGCCCATGGCAGGGTGTTGGGACTGGATGCTCTGTAAGGTCCATTCCAACCCCATAACATTCTGTGATTCTATGAAGAACACCAAGCAAAGAGGAAACCCAGGGATTGGTGTTGATCTTTGGAGCTGCTCAGACAGTCTGGTAACAACACTGCCAGGTGACTCCCATGTTTCCCTGCCCATTCTTGAGGGGAGGTGGGATGAAGCACTTCCCTGCAGTGCTGGGTCTGCCAGCCTCTTGCAAACCAGCAAGAAAACTTGGTCTGAAGTACTAAAAATTCAGCAAGACAGCCGAAATCAAAGCTGTCCTTGGAAGAGTGAGCCTAGGGCACAGATGTTGCATTTAAAGGGTTGTTACAGTTAAAGGGTTGTTACAGTTAAAGGCAGATCAGCGGCTCCTTCAGTGCTGGCAGCACATCCCAGATACACAAGTGAGAATTTTAATGTGTCCTCTAGTAGAGCACAGCACAGGAGTCCCTCTGTCCCTGGGAAGGATGAAGCTCTGGGGTTTCACAGCTGTTTTCCCTGGGAAGCTGGTGTGTAACAGCCTCACTCTGTGTGCAGGTACGGCATCAGGAACCGGGACGAGGTCAGCTTCATAAAGAAGCTCCGCCAGTGACCTGTGGGGTAAGTGCTGAATGTCCCCTGAGAGCTCCCAGCTCCTCATCTTCCTCAGGCCATGGTGTTGAGGCTCTGAGCTGATGCTGCTGCTCCCTGCTGGCTGGCAGAGTATTCTGAATGTCTGCAGGAGGCTGGTGCCTGTTTCCAGATCCTGCTAGTGTTGTTTGTGCTCCTCTGGGGCAGGGAATGATAATTCAGCTACTTCAGGTAACACACACTGGGAGCAGCAGCAGGAATAGCTGACTCTGTTTAGACTCTCAGTCTGCTTCTACACTGTCTTGAGACTCATTAAGCACAGTGTTCCTTTGCTGCTGTGATTGCTTCCAGGACCTTGCTTTCTTTTAGGCTTTTTAAATGTCTGGAAATCATTTCCAGGAGCATGGCTGGGTTTCTAACTCATGCAGACATAATTCTGGTATTAGCACTGCTATTTTGAGAAAGTTGTGCACACAAACACAAGATGTGGCCAAGACTCTAAGGCTTAGTAAGTTTTAAATTATGCTTTTAGAAATAGCCACAGTGGCTGAAGAACAGGGGTAAGAGCAGCTTGTCCACAGCTTTGTGTTGTTTTGCTGCTTTGGGTAGCTGGGTTAAAAACTGTTCCTTTTGGACCACAGTTACCTTTAATTCTTCTTTCAACACTGCCATATTTTCAAGACCCAATGTAATAACATGTGTGCCCTAACAACAGCCACCTGCTCCAGGGTGCCTGTGACCAGCAGGCACCTCTGGCACTGGCTGGTCCCTCCTGGACCATCATGGCAGCATGGTGAGAAAAGCCCAGCATGCAGTCATTACTGTCACTGACAAATATTTCTTAAACAGAGAGAGCAGAAAATCCAGCCCTACCAAGACCAGACTGTGGATTCAGCATCTTCCTGGAGGAAAAGGCTGTCACACTTCAAAGAGGAACAAACTCCATTGACTGGACATTCTCATGTTTTTTACAGTTGCTGTTTGTGGTGTTTGCCTCTGAGCTGTATGTGGATTCCAGGGATTAAAGAAACCCTCTAGTTTTCTAAGGCTTTTCAGGCCCTTATTTCCAGCTGCAGATGTGTATCTGGCTGGTTTGGGTGCTCCACAGGGTACATAAAACAGCAGGAGTGAGATTAAATAACAAAGGTAGGCACAGACTACTCAGAACAATTCACAGTAGCTAAAACGCTACTCACCGTTTAATCACCACCTTAGCAGTAGTAAACAACTCTGGTTAAAAATGTAGTATTGAAACTAGTGTAATAAAAATAATGGCAGCAGAAAAGGTTCAATACAATTGAACAAGGCACAAACGTTCTGTTTTTCAGAGTCTTCTGAGATAAGGCAAACCATGCCTGCCAAGTGCTAAGGAGACAGTTTAAATTAACCACGGGCAGGGTTAGAAGTGTCATTGGATTAGAGGCTTTGTCCCCATGGCACAGCAAATGCAAAGACAGTCCATCTCCAGGGCCTGCTCGAGAAGGCAGTCTTTGCTGTCAGTGGAGCTGTGCATCCAGGTCGTATTTCTCGCAGAATTTGTCTGTGAAGGGTATACAAGTGAGGAACTCGCACCACTCGCACTTGATGGGGTAGAAATAGAACAGAATCACCAGTCCTGAGAAGAGTGCAATGAAGATGAGCTGGAAAACTATAATTTGGCATCGTTTCCTATATAAATCGAACTTCCCAAAGCTAATGTAGGGCAGGAAGGCAAAGGAGAGGAAGAAACCACTGATAAATCCTGAAATGTGAGCGAAATTATCGATCCAAGGCAGGAGGCCAAAGGCAAAAAGAAAGAGCACCACAGCCAGCAGCTTGAAGAAAGCCCTCCATGGGCGTGCCAGGATTTGCCAACTCTGGAAGAGCTCCACAAAGAGACAGGCCAGAATTCCAAACTGGGATCCTGCAGGGCCAACCTGCAGAAGAAGAGCATTACAGATAATGTCAGGCTCGTGCCACCTGCCTGGCCTCTGCAGCCAGCTCCAGGAGTTAGTTACTTCTTACTCAATTCCTGTTCTCCTTGGCAAAGAGACTCTGCAACTTCATCCATGTTATGGGGTGCCAGGAGTACAGGGGCCTGGTTGGATTTAGGATCAAGGTGTGAGGCCAGAACAGACTAAGGAGGGCAGATCTGGTTCAAGTTTCCAGAGGGGAGAAGCCCTTGAAGGCAGTCTCCTGGCTCCCCCCACCCACCATGGAGCTTTCCTTGTGAAAGGAGCTGGAAGGCTCCTGCAGCTCCAGCCCTGCAGTCTCCTGTGGGCACGGGGAGCTCTGCTCTTTGCCACTCTCAGGTGGAGGGTGTGTGACACCACACTTGATTCTGAGCCTGCCTGGGGCCTCTCTCACCCCATGGCTGGACAATCCCCCATCTGTTAGGAGAGGCAGCCTTTTTCCTGCAGCCAGCCCAGGCAGTGACTTGGACAGCCCATGGTGCCTGGGGGACGGTGCTGCTCAGCAGTTAAATGATGGTGTGGTGCCATCTTTGAGTGCCAAGGCTGCAGTGCTGAGCGCAGCTCTGGTGGCTCTGCCTCAGCCACAGGGGCACAGGCATGTACAGAAGGGTTGTGCTCAGGACAAGTTACCAGGAGCCTGGGCTGCAGGAGACCCACCTCTGCTCTGTAGGGTAGGAATATTGCACTGGCAAGGTTGCCAGTGATGCCACTGAGCAGGTAGATGATGGAGATGCGGTGCCATCCTGCCAGCTTCTCCAGGTCCCGCAGGATCGTCATTTGGAAACACACTGAAACCAGACAGTGCAGGATCCTGCCAAGTGCAGATACAGGAGCTGAAGCAGCAGCCACTGCAGTCACCCCTGTGCTCATGTTCTGTCCCCAGCCTCGCTCAGAGTCCCTGCTCTGGCCTTAGCCATGCTGCTAATCCCTCCCAACAAACACAGGATGGAACCTTGGCAGAGAGCACAGCTCAGATCCCTGTGTCCCCACGACAGACAGCCACAGCCCTCACAGCAGTCCCCAGGCTGAGGGTGCCCCCACCCCAACAGTGGAAGTTTCACACCTCTGCTTACCCAGCATGGAGGAAAAGGGAGAGCCAGAGGCGGTAGAACTGGTCAGGGACTTCTGGATTGAGGAAAGGAAGGAGCCCACAGACATCATCCATGCAGTGCACCTAGGGCAGAAGTGGGTGTGGAGAGGGGTCCTTCTCCAAGCCCAGGGCACACTGCACACAGCTCTGGAAGAGGGGCTCCCCTCCCACTTCTCTCTGAACCAAGTCCCAGGCCTTGCCTCCAAAACAAATTTACACAACCCCATCCCTTCTCTGTGGAAGCTTTAAGCCCTCATTTTTCACCCCAGCACCCAGAGCTGAAGTATCTGCTTGCCCACGGAGCAGACTGGATCCTTCTCCCACTGCTGTCACAGTGGCCCCATGCTGGCCTGTCACAGCTGCCAGCCAAGTCCCAAACTGTCCCCAAATGGGGACAGATGCAGCCACTCTGCCACTCCAGCCAGGAGCAGCAGGGTGGGACAGGGCACTGGACTCCCACCTGTCTGCAGCACTGCCACCCCAGATCTGCCACACTGCTGAGGGCACCTGGAGGGAGGAGGGCAGCCATGGAACCCCCCAGGTGCAACCTCACCTGAGAGCAGAGCGTCGCCTCCTCGTGGAAATAGCCCCGCATGAATTCACAATACTCCCGCGAGGTAATTTCACACCTGCAGGAGGCACAAATCACACAGGGAAAGCACAATGGAGCATTCCTGTGCCCTCCCAGGCCACCCACTCTCCTTTTCCCCTCCCATCCATGAGAGCTGATGCCTTCAGCTGCCCCTGACATGCTGCAGTGTCACAGCAAAGGCACAAACACATTCCCATTTGAGCCCAGTGCCTCTCCACACACCCCTCCTGCTTCTCTCCTCCAGGAAAGCTCCACAGACCTGCCATGGCTCCAAGACAGATCCTAAAGCTGCTGTTTGGAGCTGGGGATAACCACCAGAGCCTGGGGGAGCCGTGTCTCAGACTGGGGGAGTCTTGTGCCTCTGCAGCTGGCAGAGGGGAAGGGGGGCTATGTCAAGAGTGTCCTGGTCATGACCCTCAGGGACAGAGAAACTCCTTGGGGCAACACTCATTTTTTCTCCCTAGCAGGGAAAGCCAAGCCCAAGCACTGGGTTAGTAATCTAGCTCAGGGATAACATGAGAAAAACAGAATCTTCCTCTTTTGCAAGCCCAGAGAAGGCCATTTCCTGGCATCTCCTTTGAGTGCCCATGGACTGCAGGCTGGGGACAATGGAGCCTGTCAGGAACAAGCTGGCCATTCCTAAGGAAAAGGGCAGGACTGCCCAGCAGAATGGTTCAATCCCTCCAGACTGGTATCCAAATCCCTCCAAACTGGTATCCAAATCCTCCATACTGCAGGAGCAGCTGAGTGAGATACCCTGCTGTGCCAGCCTCAGGCTGGCTGCTAACTCCTGCTCATCCCAGACTCCTGCTCCACCTGGGAGTCCTGTCATGGCTCTGTCCAACTCCCCTTCCCAGCAGGGCTCTGGGCTGTGTGTGGAAAGGACAAGGAAGGCAATGGCTGTGTCTACAAGCTGAAAGGGCCCCATGTCTCACCCCAACCCTCAGCCCCTCCATAGTGGTAAAACTCACTACCTTCCCTTGGTCCCAATGCAGCAGGGCCGGCCTGTAATCACACAGTCCATGTGGAGGTGGTTGGTGTAATTCCCAGCACTGTTTTTTGTGCAGATCTGGAAAACAACAACAGGCTGCAGTCAGACAGCCACAGCTTTGCTTGCTGGCTGGGTAAAATCAAACCAGCCCCTTGGGGAGAAGCCAGATCCCAGACACAGCTCCCTGTGACAGCAGGATGGTGCCTGACACTCCATCTGCCTGAGCATCAGTTGACACCTCCTCTCCAGCCCGAGGCTGAGCTGGTTTCCATCTCTGTTACCCTGACAGGATCCAGGGCTTTAGCTGGCACAGGACAGCTTCTGTTGTTCTGTCTTGGCTGGGCAGAGCACGGCTGCCCTGAGCTGGTGTTTGTGACCAGCAGCAGAAGCTGCACCAGAGGCCCTGCCCTCCCAGCAGCACAGTGGGATGCAAATGCCACACGGCAGCTGCCCATGGCCCTCTGTCCCCCTGGCCGTGCTCACCGGCCACTTGGTGATGTCATCGGGCCACTCGTGGGGCTCCATCGAGGCTGGCTGCTCACACACCCTGCAGCAACAAAGCACACAAAGCACACATCAGCCTGAGAAATACCCTTCCCCAGCACCAGGGAGGATTCCCACACTCTGCCTGTGCCCATTCCACAGCTCCTTGTGCCCCTGGGTGCTGACACTGCCACACCAGACCAGATCAGCCAAGGCCATGCTGGTCACAGCCTCAGCCTCCTTCCAGCAGAGATCACAAAGGCACAGAGCACACAGCTGCCCAGCAACAAACTGGATCCCTTCCAGGTGGACACACCCCAAGGACAGGAACTGAGCTGCTTTCAGCTCTACATCAGCCCACAGTGACTGTGCCAGGGCAGCCAGCAGCTGGCTGGGCTCCTGGACAGAGGGGTGCTAGGCTCAGGACTGCTGCCCCCCACGCAGGGGATTGTGCAGGGAGCAGGTGAGGACAGGGAGAGGGTTGAGGAAGGCACCCAAGACTCTCAGGCTTAGTAAGTTTTAAATTATGCTTTTAGAAACAGTCACAGTGGCTGAAGAATAGGGTTAAGAGCAGCTCACAACAGGCTTCTGTTCAAGTGAGCAGCCCACAACAGAGAACAGAGGTGAGCAGAAATATGATCACATCCTGCATCAGCCTCCCCTGCAGTGTAAGGACATCACTGCCCAAACCCCTCCAGAGCTGCTGCTGCCTCACCCAGCAATCCACTGGCCTGGGACTGACTGCACAGCAGCCCTGTCCCCCGAGGATGGCAGCAGGGCCAGCAGGACCTACCTGGGGTCCTGGTGACACACAGAACCAAACTGCCTCTTGTTCCCTGCCAGCATCGGCGTGCTGGGGTGATGGGGCCACTTCACCCACACGGCCAGCGTGGACTGCAGGAGAGAGGAGAGGTGTCACCAGGAAGGCCAGGGGAAGAAACAGGAGCAGAAGTGGCCCTGAGGCTGCAGGGCTGGCAGGAGCAGGGCCGTGGCACTCACTGAGCACTCCTCCTCCGAGGTCTGCACGCAGCCGGACTTGTCGTTGCGCACGCAGCACGCCGAGTGCTTCTCCTTCTCGCGCTTGGCGCTGATGAAGCTGTGCACCTGCTGGTCCTGCCTCATGCACGGGGAGAACTTGGCCCCCAGGTGGATCAGGGCCTCCTGCCAGACATGGAAACACTCAGCTCAGCCAAGGCAATCACTGCCTGGGCAGAGCAGGCTGGGGGAGCTGCTGGGGTAGCCCTATCCAGACTCAAGGGCCAGGGACAAGTCCTGCATGATGAGGCCCAACACACACCATGCACATTTCCATATTTGCTTTGGAGACAGGTCCAGAACAAAAGCTCAGGGATTTCTCTGCCCATAACCCCAGAAAAGGCCAGCAAAATGGCTGGGAAAGAAAACTTTGAGACGTTTTCATTTTTGTGTTTCCCAGGGGAATGGCATCAGGAAAGCTGTCACACACCATACAACTCCTGCATTTTTTCTAACCCCATGCTTGTCTTTGTAGGAACAGGGTCCAAGGTCCATCCCAACCTCCAGGCACCCCACTCTGCAGGGTAGTTTTGGGCTGGGAGCACTGCTGCTCCCTGACAGTGACAGCAGATCCCTGAGCTCCACGCAGCAGAGGGCTCTGGGCCGTGGGGTGGCCCAGCTGCAGAACAATCCCCCACCCACCAACCGTCCCACCAACAGCACTCACTGAGCTGGGGCCGATCCAGAAGTTTTCCTGCTGAACATATTTGACATTTTCATAAACTCCTCTGTTTCTCAAGACCTACAAAGAGAGAAAGCAAGAGCCCTGTGAGCTCCAGCCCCCAGGTACTGGTGAAAACAGCCCGCAGGATGAACAGGAATCCCTACAGCCAAAGACAGTGCCCACAACTCCCTCCATCTGTTTTTCTGCAGCCATCAAGGTGTGGGCACCTTCAAGTTAAGGTTTTATTCAAAATGTCTATCTTTGTCTGCTTCAACTTTCAAGAAATCCCAGGGCCTGGAGCCCTTGGAGTGGCCTGAGCCTGCACAAAGCTCCACAGAGCTGAGCAGCACAGGCAGCACCCAGAGGCAGTGCAGGCCCAGGTGTTCACTGTCAGATATGCAGCTGAGAAGCTCCCCAGGCATCTCCTGCATGGAGCAAGGACATGGCTGTAGAGATATCTGTACCCCAGAAACCTTTAACAACGTGTGGGAAGGCTACAAACAGCTTCAAATCAGCTCCCAAAGTCAGACAAGTCAGTTTTGCCCCTGGCAGAAGCAAAATCTTGCAACTGTAGCAAAAACTTAGCTCTGGTTTGAAGCATTTCCCTGCCTTGATCATCCTTCTGGTCTCCACCAGGAGGAGAACAAGCTGTTTGGAAGCTTTGTGCCAGATATAATCTGACATCAGGGAGCTGCAGGAGGGACAGAAGGGGGTGTGGGGCTCCCAGGGACCCTGCAGGCACCCAGCCAGGCAGGCAAGGAGCTGAGGGCTAAACTCCATCACACTCCAGGCATGTCAGGGGCACCACTTACTGAATCAACAGTTTCATGCTGTGAGAACCCCACAGGGGCGATGCCGTAGATGCACACAGCGAGGATGGTGATGAGGGAGTGCACAAAGGTGACCCAGTAAGTGAAGAAAGGCCTGCAAGGAGGGAAGGGGAAAGGATCAGAGGCAGAAACACAGGCATATTACATCTGCTAACAGAACAGAGGGGGAAAGCTGCTGTTTTCCCCCAGAAACCTTGCCAAAATCTGGGGTACACAGCCAGGATCACCTAGGAGTGCTCAGGACAGGAGGCAATAACCTGTTTACTCTGACTCCCCCATTACCCTGGACAACCACCCTTTCCCAAGAAAACATCCATGGGACACCAAAGCCCAACGCTGAACTGTGCTGTGTTTCTGAAATAATCATTCCAGGTCAATGCCCAGAGGCAGGGACAGCTGAGCCCTGCTGTTCCCCACAGGACAGTGCTGGTGGCACAGAGACCTCAGTCCCTCCAGGCACCAGAGACACAGACACACCGTGGGGAGCTGGGTGAGGCCCCAGACTGCTGGCTGAGGACACAAACACGCTGCTGTCAGCTGCAGCTGGCTCTGCTCTCCCAGGGACAAAGATGGGGGGCACAGCAGCACCCCGAGTTCCCCAGGGCCAGCAGCAATCCCTCACTCAGCAACTCAGGGCACTCCAATATTTCTCTGTCTGCTCTGGGGTGCCCTGACCCCCAGGGCAGAACTGACTTTGACCCTCATTCATAGAGAAAGTTTCTTAGATTTCAAGATAGACTGGAATCCACAAAAGTGTGAAACAGATTATAGAGAGTAGTGTAGGTGTATCACTTAGGTGAGAAATTTAGGTTTTGGGATTTTTAGTATGTTGTGGATAGAAGCAAGATAGAGGGCCCAGGGTGTCATCCTGGGTTTTTAATTCATGCTTTTTCTTTCTTCTTCTTTATGGATTTGGGTAGCATTTTGTAATTGGGGAGAAAAGTCCGCATTGCAGCTCTTTGGGATCAGTTATTGGGTTAAAAGGGAAATAATCTAGGTGTCAGCTCTTAATTGGATAGTTTAGTCTTAAAGGACCTTGTAACAAGAGATTGTTGGCCATTTTGTGCCTTCTAATGAAAAGCTGCTGAACAGTCAGTCTCACAGCAGTGAGACTGTTTTACTGATAAGAAATAATAAACACCTGAGTGTGAACATGAATTACTGTCTCAAGTGCCTACAGTCCAGACCTAGAAAAACCCATGACTGGTACCTGTCACAGACATATTTTATGAAAAATCCTCTTGCTAGGATCTTTTCTCCTGAGAAGCTGAGAGGCCTCAGAAACGAAACATAAACAATGATTATCTGCTGCTGTGAAATGCAACAGGTGCATCTGTGATTGGTCTCATGTGGTTGTTTTTAATTAATGGCCAATCATGGTCAGCTGGCTCGGATTCTGTGGTCAGTCACAAGATTTTACTATCATTCCATTCTTTTCCTTGCTAGTTTTCTGATTAAATCCTTTCTTCTATTCTTTTAGCATAGTTTTAATATATGATTTTCTTTTGTAGTCCTTTATGTACAGTGGGAGTATGGTGGCCTTGGAATGTCAGGTCATCATTGGAACATGATGAGAATAGTGGAGAGTAGGCCTAGAATAAGGAGCCATGGGGAGTTGTAGTGGAAACATACTGTTAGTCCTGAGGGGTTTAGGAGAGCAGTGGCTGCTCCTAGGATGGGTCAGGAGCTAGGGTCTACTATGTGATAAGAATGTGCTTGGTGTGCCATTGAGAGTTAGATATTTTCTTGTCGGTAGAGGCTCAGTAGGAGCACGAATTATATTTTCTTTTAATATAATATATATCATAAAATAATAAATCAGCCTTCTGAAACATGGAGTCAAGATTCTCATCTCTTCCCTGCCAACAGCACCACATTTGGTGACCCCGAGTGAGGAACCACCCCCAAAACGGGGAACCCCCATAGCGCAGCTCCCACCTGTGGTCATCCATGTCCTCGATCTGCCGTTTGACGTAGCTGTCGATACGCTTGCGGTAGGTCCTGTTGGTCAGCTTGCCCACCATGCCCAGCCCGTAGGGCCTCTTCTCCTTGGCAAAGAGCTTCCTGACGGGCACGGCGATGCGCTGCCCGCGCCGCTGCGGGCTCACGCTCACCACCTCCTGCCGCAGGCGCACCTTGGGCTGCGCCAGGGCCCCGTCCTTCTGCTTCCTCCAGCCACGCTCCAGGGGGCTGGAACAAAAGCAGGACACAAGTGGGGACCAGCCTTTGCGTGGCCTTTGGTGGCAGCAGAGCCTCTGTCTGTGCCACCTGCTGATGGCAGACAAGGTGCCCTGAAGTTGTGTTTCAAAGGGTTGCACAGAGGCAAGAAAGGAAAGCACAGACATGGCAGAAAGCACAGCAGTAGGGGACCAGCCTTTGCATGGCCTTTGGTGGCAGCAGAGCTTCTGTCTGTGCCATCCCCTCCAAGCTGGGCAGCAGCTGATGGCAGAAAGCACAGCAATAGGGACCAGCTTTTGCGTGGCCTTTGGTGGCAGCAGAGCCTCTGTCTGTGCCACCTGCTTCAGGCTGGGCAGCAGCTGATGGCAAGGTGCCTGAAGCTGTGTTTCAAAGAGTTACACAGAGCCAGGACAGAAGTAAGGACCAGCCTTTCCATGGCCTTTGGTGGCAGCAGAGCTTCTGTCTGTGCCACCCCCTCCAGGCTGGGCAGCAGCTGATGGCAGACAAGGTGCCCTGAAGCGGGAGCTGTATTTCAAGGGGTTGTACAGAGCCAGGAAAGAAAATCACAGAAGTGGCAGAAAGCACAGAAGTAGGGACCAGCCTTTGCATGGTATTTGGTGGCAGCAGAGCCTCTGTCCATACCACACTGATGGCAGACAAGGTGTCCTGAAGCTGTGTTCGAAAATCTTACACACAACCAGGACAGGAAAGCACAGAAGTGACAGAAAGCACAGCAGTAGGTAGGGACCAGCCTTTCCATGGCCTTTGGTGGCAGCAGAGCCTCTGTCTGTCCCACCCACTCCAGCAGCCCTGAAGTGGGAGCTGTATTTCAAAGGGTAACACAGAGTCAGGACAGAAAAGCACAGAAGTGGCAGAAAGCACAGCAAACACACAGAGAGTGGCACAAGGCTGCTGTGCCAAACTAAGCCCCACCACTGAGGAGCTCTCAAGGCTTTAAAGCTGCAGCCTGTTGGGCTGCAACAGCACCTCTGCAGCCTCAGGTGTGTCTGCTCCCTCCCCTACTTCAATCCTCTTACTCTGCCCTCTGCTATGAAATGGAAGTTTAGAATGGAGTTTAGCCCAGCAGTGGAAATAGCCACCTTTAAATGTCACTTCAGTATCTCACTTCAATGTCGCTGGACTGGCAAATTGGACAAAAGTGAATCCAAGCAGCTTCCCAGACCAAGAAAGCAGCACTGTCTTACAGAGGCTGCAAGCTGTACCAGCTGCCTCTCCCAATATTTCTTCCATTCCTCCCTTACTTGTACCAATGTGTGCATTTTTCAGAATAAAGCAAAGCAGGCTTCATGAACACAATAAAAATCCTGAGCATCCCGAGCTAAAACAAGGCTTCTTTGTCAAAATAGATCTGATTAACATTGCACAGGTTACTGGTGAATAACACCTACTTTTTAAGACTCTATCACATCCAGATAAATTTGTATTTCCTTGCTCTTAGACAGCAGTGTGAAGGTCACATCTGCAGCACTCAGATCTAACCAAAAAAACCCAACTCCCTCCCATTTCCCCTTCCTCATTGCCTGGCCCTGCAGGAGAGATGCTCCTGACACCTGCTCTAGCCCAGTGCACCTCCTCTGGCTTCCCAAATGTCCCACTCTGCACAAAGACAGTGCCTGTCAGAAGTGCTGAGAGAAAACAGCCAACAACCTTTCTTCTGAAACATGACTGGAGTGTCTGCAGAGATCATGACAGCTCTGAAGTACAGGCAAGCAGCAGCATAAGGGAGAATCTGAACCCCTGTAGCCAAAATACTGCTGGAAACTTCAGCTCTTTTCATATTGCCCCTTGCAGACAATGCATTTGAATATCCCAACTTCCCCTTGGGAAGTCCTTCTGCAGCAGAAGGTGCAGGTTCCACTGCAGCCTGCTCCTGCCCAAGAGGTCAAGTGGTTTCTGTGGGGTGCACATGCTGCTTCCCAGTGTTTGCAGTGCTGGAAATCTCCCCATGCCCAAACAAACACCTCACCACGTGAAAGGACACCCAACTGTGACTCTGACAACAGCTCTCTGAAGGGTGAAAAAAATATATTTTCCTCAATAAATAAAACTATTTAAGGAGATTCAAAGGGAACCAAGAAGACTGAAACCATCTCAGAGGAGTGACAACAAACTCCCACCATTTGTGCTTCCCCTTATGTTAAACTGAGTGAAGTTCTTGGAAACACTTGAAGGGAAAGTGCCAGCACAGCAAGACAGGCTGAGAGCAGCAGAACCACAACAAGGACCTCCCTGTCTGCTCCATGTTCACACCCAGCAGAGCTCTCTGCTGGGGTGAGCTGACTCGGAAGCAGCACAGAGCAATTACTCAGTACCAGTTACTCAGGTGGAAAAAATCCAGGCACACAGAACAGCACCACCCACATATTTGTAGGGCTCTCAGCACCAGTGCCACACCTTTCTCTCATTTCAAGTGAGGAATGCAGCCCAGCTTGACACACTGCAATGCTTCACCGCTCCTTGGAGCATGAGAACAGTTACTGGTGACTGTGGCAATGGCAACAGCTTTCTCACTTTTGCTCTCCATAGCCAAAGGCTGGGCCCTCAGCATCCTTACAGTTGATTTAAGTGTCTTTTGCTTCCTCAAGGCATGATACAATCTCTGAAACACATTACTATGAAGCTGGAAGTTGCTGGAGAAGTGGCCTCAGAGTCACCTTTCACATCATGGGTAGCTGGGGCAGGAGGTCTTCAGCTGGATTTAAAGAACACCCATCCCCGCACTGCTCTGAGCTCTGCACCAAGCACCCACAGCACTCACATCTTGGCTTCCCCACTCCAAACGGGTTGGCTACCCCATGTTAAGCTTTGGCAGCTACCATGAAGATACTCACAGTAGTAAATGACTTCTCTCAAGCTCATTTTTGTCCAAAGCACCTCCTGTGAGATCTGTCTGATCTGGAGGTTTCACCTCGGCATCTTTGATGGCAGCTTCTGACGGCGACTCGAACACTTCATCGGGGTAAGTGGAGAGCTCCTCATGAAGGACTCCTTCCTGGGCAGACAGACAGCAGCCCCATCAGAAGAAGCCAACATCCCACCTGAGAGAGCAGTGCTGCTCTCTGCAACACACAGTCCTGCCAGAAGCAGAGTCCTGCTCTGCCTTTGGCAGCACCACGCCAGACCTGCCCCTCACCCGAGCGAAGAAGGACGTGTCGAGCTCATCTGGGAAATCCACCGTGTCCTCCTCCAGGAAGCTGGCGGGGGTGAAGCTGCGCCGCTGGGCCCTCCTCAGGGTGCTGTCCTTCACAGAGCGGCCCTGCAGCCAGGGACAGGGACATGGGGCACTGCCAGCACCTCACAAACCCGCCCCAGCCAGGGTAGAGGCAGCCCATGTGCTGAGCTTGGTTGGAGCACAGCAGATTGATGTGTGACACCTTTCTGGTGAGATACAGCTGTCACTCCACTTCTAAACCCACAGTACCCACCTCCAGGCTTGCCTCTTGCTCCTCTAGCACATACTGGACAATGTGTCCGGCCAAACCACAGTGATGGCTGCTAATGGACACAGCAAAAAGGATGGAGAGACCTCTTTCACCCACGGGAACCAAGAGAGCTCCCCCTGGGAGTTCTCTGCTTTTACCCCTCTGTGCTCTCAGAGGCATATCCATGTCCTCAGTGACCACACCAGGTGCCAATATTCAAATCTGAACACCTATTGGTTTGACCGCAGCATCCCAAAAAAACTGACTTCCTTTCAAACCAGGACACTTGTACAGCAAGAGCCTCTGGTATTTCTGCTCTTCCCTGGCTGCTTACCAGGTGCACATGGACCACCCAAAAGCCCAGAACAGGCTGAACTGGACCTGCTAGAATACTGAGGCTGCTGTCCATGGGAATCAAAGTCCCCAGGCCAACACAGAAAAATCAAGACCCGTACCAAAACTGAACCGCCATCCCCACTTCCTTGCCAATCCTGCCTCCTGTACACTTGGCCGAAACCCACCAGGAGGTGACTCCATTTCCTCCCTCCACCACAGCTCTCCCCACCCCTCTGCTGAGCAGCTCCTTGCCCACATCCAGGGCAGAGACCCCCGTGGTCCATGCCCTGTGGCAGGCAGTACCTTGACCAGCGCGGCGGCCGC